TTAAAAAATTAATAACATATTTGTTCAATAAATTATATCTGTATAAATGAAATATCGTTTATTGAAAATTTAGCATGTTGCTACAAAAATCTAGGGATTTTAAATGAAACATAGGGAAATTTTTATCATACCATATATAGTTTTTCCTGCGAAGTGAAGAAAGCAATAGATGTTTGAAATTAAACGTACCTTCGATGGAACGTTAAACGTATATAGGTAACGATAAAACGTTTAAATTCTAGCTATTATAATTCTTACAAGCGTAAATAAATAATAGTTCTTTTCATTTAAATCATGAAACTATGGATTGAAATTATATTGGAATGGGTAAGTAATTATATTACATAAATGAAAATATATGAAAAATGATTAGATGTTATTTAAGTAAGTGGTTATTTCAAACTAAATTGTAATACAATTATTTAATTAATACAGCTTTATATAAATTGTAGTTTTTACGATATTGTAAATATTTGTTAAATATTTTGGCTGTAACTGTAAAGCGTTTAAAACTTTTTACTAATTGTATAATATAAATAATATACCCCATAATTTATTGCAATATACAAAATAAAAATTAATGTTTTCAGTTAAATTGTTTAGATTAGTGCATGGAAAGGTATTGTAAAAGTCTTAAGTACAGAGAATATTATTACCAAATTCTTAGAAGGTTTGTAAGTTTATGATAAATATTGCATTTATTACAAAATTATTTCACAAAAATTTATCATACATTGTTTATTCTTTATACAGATGAATATCCCAAATATAAATATAATCATAAAAATTTGGATGAAATGGAACATACTTATACTACATCTTTATTTTTATTGCATGCATCTCAAAAACCGTTATTTCATCAACCAATGTGTATTAAATTACAACATGAAACACAACTTCAAATTAAAGCATTTCTTGAAATGATTATTCCATATGGAAAAAACATAAACAGAGAAACATTACAAGAAATAATTATTGAATTACAGAATGATGCACCAAAAACACCTATAACACCAAAAACAAAAACACTTAAGGATTTTTTTAATTCTCCTGCAGTACAATCTGCTCAAAAACATAAAGTATTGAATAATACATATGGAGAATTAAGAAAGTTGAGAACAGAACTGGAAGTTGAAAAATTTGAAAAAGCTGATTTGCAAGAAGATTTACTTATCCAACAGAACAAAGTACAAAGTTTACAGAAAAAATTACTTCAGCAAGCTGCAGAAATAAAAGCTTTGCAACAAGAAAAAATTAAACCAAACACTCCACAATCTTGCAAAAAAAATAAAGATATAACAGATTCTGAACAATATAAAAAAGAAATCGATCGTTTGGAAGATGAATTAATGCAGAAACAATATGAAATAGATAAACATGAAGAAAATAACGATATTCTGGTAAAAGAAATTACATGTATGAAAAAGCGATGTATATATTTTAGAGAAAAATTGGAAAGTTGTGAGAAGTCTTTGGAATGCATGCAAATCCAAGGAGAAATTAAGGATAGAGAACTGATTAATTTAAGAATGACTAATGAAGAATTACATATTCATTTAAAAGAAGTCAATAAAACAGTAGTTGGAGATCAAAGTTTTGAAATTGATGGTATAGCACCCTTAAATTCATCTTTATCTTTCAATAGTAGTGAAGTTTTAAGTTCTGTAGTTGAAATTCAATTAAAAGAGGCAAAGGAAGAGTCTGATTTGTTGAAAATTCAACTTGATGCATTAAATAAGAAATTAGAATCTACAAATGAAGAACATAAAAATATGATACAGTTGTTAAAGGAAAAAACACAAACAATAGAATACACAGAAGTCAAATTAAATGTGACTTTAAACAAGTTGAGTAAGAAAGTTGAATCCTTACAAGAGGAAAACAGGTCTTTAATGGATAAAAATAAAAACTTGGAAGAGTTAGACATCTCTAACAAGAAATCTTTGTCACATGCTGAAAAGTTAAACAATGTTTTAAGTACTGATATAAGTACTTTGAAAGAAAGAATTAAAGACTTACAAGAATCTTTACATGATGAAAATGTAAATAGTGCTAAATTAAATATTGAACTTGAAAAAATCAACTCACAGGTACATGAAAATCTTACATACATTCAAGAATTAACAGACCAAAATAATTTATATAAAACTTCTATTGATATGTATAATACAAATTTAAAAGACATTTTTCATCATTCAGAGATTAATTATATTGAAGATAATTTAGATAGTGAAACAACTATTCAACTTATACAACATCTTAAAATAATATTATGTGATTTGGACAAGAAATATATTTCAAAGCAAATGGAATTTGAATCACTGAATAATGTAATGAAACAAGTAAATTTGGAAATAGAAGATTTACAAATAAAAGTATCAAAATTGACAAAAAAGGATGAACAAAGTACTATGGATATATTAAAATTGAAGGAAATTATTGTACAAAATGGAACAAAAATTACTGAGCTTACTACTAGGACAGAGCAATATTCAGAGGAAATTTCATATTTAAAAGAAGTTGAACTTCAAAAGTTAACTTTAGAAAAAGATTTGAACGTGCTTAAAGAAAAAGTAAATAAAAATTTACAACTACAAGCTTCTGGAAAATGTGTACAAGATTTAAGGAAGCAGATTCAAACGTTTACCACAGAATTTTATTTGATTAAGAAAGATATATTAAATCAGATAAATGAATACCAAAAACACAGTGAAGATAGTAGTAAAAGTATTTTCAGTGCTTATAAAATGCTGTATGCTGCTTATACTGAAGAACAACTTTACAGAAATCAGCTGGAAGATAAACTTACTAATAATAAAAAGGATTTGAAAGATAGTCAAAATTTAAACATTACTTTAGAAAATGATATAATAAAAAATAAACAAATGATAAATAATTTACAGCGAGAATTAATGAGTACTAACGAAAAATTAACAGAATCTGTACAAAACTTGGAAAAATTTGAAGAAGCAAAAGATGCATTGGAAAAGCAATATAAAGATCTTAAATATGAAAATGCAAAAATTCTACTTGATTTGAATAATATAAATGATAAATGTAAAGAATCTCAACAAGAAGTATGTAATATGTCACATTCATTAAAATTTAAAGATGAGAAAATTGGAAATCTAATTGCAGAAATTACATCCTTAAAATTAGAAAAAGAACACATAATCCATTTACAAAAAGGAGGAGAATCTAAAACGAAAAATTTTATAAAGGAATTGGAAACAAAATTACTAGACAAACAATGTCAATTAGATCAACTAAGTATAAAAATTAAATTATCAAATGAAACATTGAAACTTGTGCAGGATAAATTTGAAAAATTATCAAAAGAAACAATTGCTTCTGAAATGAAATTAAAAGAAGTAATTAAGAATCTACAGGAAGTAAGAACTAATCAAGATGCAGTTTTAACAACACAAGAGAGAGCTATAAAGAAAAAATGTTTACAGTTAAACCAATTAGAAAAAAAATTTAATGACTCTAAAAAAGCCCTATGTAAACAATTGAAGAATGAGAAATTGTGTCAAAGTCTTCAAAACACAAATTCGAAGTTACAAATACAATCATATGAACAAAGAAAAACAATAGAGGAATTGCAAGAAATGTTGAAGGAAGAAAGAAATGAACTTGTTAAAACTAAGGAATACTCTAAATCTAAAGATATAAAAAAATCAGAAATTGTACAAATTTGTGAAAAATTGGAATACTCGCTAAATGATTTAAAAGCAACAATTACGAAAGTAAGTCCAAAGGATGAAAATTTGTATGCTGATATTAAATATGATATACCATGTATAAATAACGATGATAAAATTGAAAATATTTTAAAAATTGTAAGGACATCAATTAATGAAATCCACGCATCGCGCAAGTTAATTTTGTATCTGTTTACCGTAAATACAAACTTAAATGAAACCCTGCAACAGAATGAAAAAATAAGTATAGATAATTATGTCACAAAATGTGAAGAAATTAAACTATTAAAAACTAAGATGCAAGAACTGAATAATTTGGAGGAAACACACATAAAATATGTAAATAGTCTTATAAAGCATAAAGAATCATTGAAAGATTGTTTGCAGAATATTATAAAATCAAGGGGAGATTTGGATACATCTTTAAGTGAATTGAATCAAAAATGGGATAAGTTGTTAGCAAAGTCTGATGGTATTTTTATGACAGATAAATGTATATGTGAAGAGTTAAAGCATGCACAAGTTAAAAAAACACATCTGGAAAATACCTTACTCAAACATTATATTTGTCACTTCCAAAATATAAAACCTATGCAAAATATCTTATGGGAACAATTTTTATGGTCTGAACAAAAATTAAAAGATAATTGTTCAAAAATAACAAAGAATGAACAAGTATTGCATATTTCTTCAGATACTTTTTCAAATGAGAAGACAATAATTGCAGCAGAATTACATAAAAATACAATGTTACAAAAAGATATTATTCAACTTCAAAATGAAATGGACGATTTTTCGAATTTAGTTACTTCTTTTGAAATTAATTGTAAATCAAATAAAATGATACTTCAATCTGAATCAAAAAAAACATTACAGTTAAACATCAATGAATTAACAGAAAATAAAAATGATTTAGAAAGTAAATTAAACTGTGCATGTATAAAAAATAAAAAACTAGAAGATAATATTAGTGAGCTTAAGATTAAGATACAAGAAATAAAAGAAACATCACTGAAAGAAGTAGAAGATTTAAAAAAAGTATTAATTCAATTAAAAGAAGAAAACTTAAAGCTACAAGAAGAAAGGAATGAATTAAGCAAGCGACCAAAGAAAGAAGACGTCGATAATCAATTGAAAGATATTAATGATAAATATAAGCTTAAGTTAGATGAAGTTAAACAAAATATGGTAGGCAAATTAATATATTTTATTTTTGTAATCATTATGACTCGCTTACTTCTGTAGCAAATATTACAGAAAACAGCATATAATGAGCAAATAGCAAAACAAAACAGAGAACAAGAACAACGCATACAGGAAAACTTGGAGTCGTTACAAAGAAAAATGGAACTGCAGTGCCGGAAACAAGCAGATGAATTAAGTAAATACAAGGCACATGTTGCTAGTATGAGTTCACAATTTTGGAATGTTGGAGAGAAACTGTTAAGTGAACAACAAGAAAAGGAAAAATTACAAAAGGAATTAAATGAACTGAAAGCTAAATATAAAAATGTAGATCAAAAAATATCTTCAATAGAACATAAAAGTTCAAAGTAAGATTAATTTTACTATAACAAATGAGAAGTAAAACTTAATTTATCCTTTTAGGAATTTTGCAGATATTATTTAAAATTTTTTTCCAGGTATGAAAAAAGAGATTTATTAGGAGAAATTAAAGAAGAAATTTTTCATAAAATTGCAGTAACACAAGAGGAAACAACATATGAAAGAAGATGTAGTATTAGGAGCATACAAACAATGGGTAATGCATTTAATGCAGAGGAT